AGTTTGTTACATGAAAACAGTTTCAGAGTTAAAGAAATTTTTCTGAGAGTGAAGTTTCATGCAATGCAATATTTTCAAAACCCATGAGATTTAAAGTTGTCACTTACAGTTTCATGCATTGTTCTCATATGTGGCTGTGAAGCCACTGAAATATGCAAATGGAAAACGATGGTTCCCCTTCAGTGCTTTTTCTCAACAGGGAATGAAATGGGCACTAGAAATGTGGGATGTTTTGTTGGTCAGGAGGCCACTAAGGGAACTTCTAGGCATACTTATTTCAGAACCAGACATCTGCCTGGCAGCAGATTAAAAAGTCTAGAGTTTAAAGAATCTCTAATATGAGATTGGCATTCTGGGATTTTGTCCCATTTGCTGTGCGAATGGAGATAACCCTGCCCCACATTTGAATGAAGATGTTCCTTTTCAGTCCAAGATTGCTGCTCGTCTATATGACTCTTATCTCCATTAGAAATGGGTGAATTCTACAAGACATTTTACTTCTGTCATTAGAAATGGGTGAATTCTACAAGACATTTTACTTCTGTCAGGAGATTTTCAGAAGAAAATCACAATGGTTACAATATGATTGGCATTCCTGAACTCACAGGCTCACCCTGTAGCATCAGAGTCATCTGGAAGGCTTGTTAACACACAGATGGCTAGGCCCCCACCCCCAGGGTTCTGTTCTGTAAGTCTGGGGTGGGGCCAGAGAATTTGTATTTGCTTTTTTTTTTTAAAGATTTTATTTTTTTCCTTTTTCTCCCCAAAGCCCCCTGGTACATAGTTGTATATTCTTAGTTGTGGGTCCTTCTAGTTGTGGCATGTGGGACGCTGCCTTAGCATGGCTTGATGAGCGGTGCCATGTCCGCGCCCAGGATTCGAACCAATGAAACACTGGGCCTCCTGCTGCAGAGCACGCGAACTTAACCACTTGGCCACGGGGCCGGCCCAGAATTTGTATTTCTGACAAGTTTCCAGCGCATGCTGATGTTGCTGGTCCATACACCACGCCTGTGAGACTCACTGCTAAAGGTTCATCAGTAAATGGCTTGCCCGGCCCTATGCACTGACCCTGCTTCCATCTTCCCATGAGTAAACCTGGAGTTCTATTCTTGTTCCTCCCAATGCCTAACACATAGTGCCACGCTCACAGGGCTTACTCAGTATTTCTTGGGGAAAAAAAAAATGCTATTTAGATAAAACTACTCAGGTATACCAGACCCCTTTCCCACCACCACTTTCTCCCACACTACCACCCTGTGTTTGTCTCTTTTGTGTTCTGTTTTTCCTCCTTCTGCTACCTTGTGCAATTCTGAAAGTTTGTTTGTTGGTTTTCTCTCGTCTTCCCATATGTGTCCTATGTTTGAACCACGGGCAAGCTCAGACCTGGTAATCCAGTTGTGTGTCACTGGCTCCTAGGTTTCTGGTTCTACAGCCAGTCCAGGAAGAAGAGGACCTGAGCCTACCATATTGGTCAATTTTTGTGTAGAGGCGGGTTAGTGGCAGTGACACGAGCAGTCATGTGACAATTTGGACCTTAGGTCTCAGGATAGATCTTGCACTTTAGGAGCCTCCATGAGAAAGCATTTGGAAAAACCCAAGGAAACTCTCCTCCTATGGTCCCTGCTTCCCTAAGTTTACATGTTATTTGCAAGGTGAGACTCTCCTTAACGATTCAGAAAACGTGAAAAAAGTACTAAGAAGGAAAAAAGGTACCCATTTGTCCAAACACCCAAGCCATCCAGTTTTAGTATATTTTGTAACAATCTTTTATAGTTCTACCTAAATGTTAGTTTATTTTTAATGTGTTTGCATTTAATTGAACATATAAATCTAGGGATAAAATTGCCAAAGGGAGAGGAAATTCTTGTGTTGAATTACAGGGTTATTCCCATAATGAATGATAATGATTCATTACAAAATTGTTTGCTTTCAAGTTTCATCCAGACACCATTAGAGAAATGAGCAGCAGCTCCTTCCTCATGTAGAGTTAGTGGTACTGCGAGTTCGGTCAGGTGTGCTGCCTGCGTACACTTGTGATGGGTTGGGTGTTAGGCCGTCTACTGAGCCATTTGTCAGTTCTTCAGTGCCTAGCTCTTTATTGGTCTTGGGTTCATGGTTTCTTCAACAGCAGTGAATGGGTGGTATGTATTATGAGCCCCTGGGTACATGAAATTGCCTTTCTCCTGCCTTTATTCATACAACTCAATGGGATCTAACTCCTTCACTCCATCTTTTCCCCTGAAAATACTATAAGGCTAGTACCAGTACTACCAATACTTTTGTCTCCTGGTTTTTCTTGTTATAGAGGAAACATGATATTAGCTGGATTTTCATGATTTCACAGATAATCTTTTTGTTTTCATTTTCAGTCTGGGTGCTCATATGCTCCTCCATCTTTGCTATTTAAAAATGGTCAGGGGGCCGGCCCACTGGCATGATGGTTAAGTTCGCGCACTCCACTTCAGCAGCCCTGGGTTTGCAGGTTTGGATCCCGGGCACAGACCTACACACTGCTCATCAAGCCATGCTGAGGTGGCATCCCACAAACAAAAAATAGAGGAAGATTGGCACAGATGTTAGCTCAGGGCCAATCATCCTCACCAAAAAGAATTTTTAAATCTCAAAAAAAAAAAAAATAGGATGTTCTGAGATGTAGTTCACTTTTCACTGATTTGCTTGGAATGCAGCAAGCCTGTTGGTTTTTGATCATTGCTTCTGTTAACAGTATTAATAGCAATTAGTTGACTTTAATTAGACATTTACATTGACTGTTAACTGGAGAGAACTTGGAAACTCTAATCTATATCCAGTTTATGTCTGATCAAGTGGACAGGTTGAATTAGCTCTACGACATGTCTGCGATCCCTCTAATCACTCGGTGCTAGATCCAGGGTTCTGTCTGGTACTCACAGAAACCTCATTAATCTATTCTAAAGTGGTTCTCCACTCCCGTGTTGGTGTCAAAACAATGCAGCCTTCTCTCTGACCAAGATCTGAGGCAACTGTAGAGGGATTGTATGCTGGTGCCTACCCAGGTCTGGATATGCACCCCTGGAACTGGCCCCAGAATTATATCCACCCTATGACAGAGCCTTCTTAGGAACTGGGCTACAGACTTGTGTGTCCAAAACCACAAGCTCATTTCAGACCTGTGTGGTCCACCAGGTGATTCCAAGTCAAATAAACTAAGCTCCAGTAGTTTACTCTGAATCGTCATTCAGAGAGAACCTTCAAAACAGAGGTTCCATCAGCAGAGGCCTCTTAGCTATGAATTGGAGGTTAACTTTGAGCCCCTTTATTGTCAGATTTGAGACCCACTTGAAAACCTGTGGAAATAAGCCACTTAACTCCTCTCTCCCTCTAGCGACATAGCATTGTATGCCTTTCATTCTGTTGAAAAAGTAGTAGGCTTCGTCAGCAATCATCTTCTGTTCAGGCTAAATTTATTTTTATGTGAAATAGAAATCAGGAAAACACCAAAATTATTTTAAGCAAAATATCAAAATTGAAATAAACCAACATATGTCTGTGAAACATGTATAACTCTCAATCAAAAATAAGTGCAACTTTCATAAATTTCTTAAAATAGTCCAGCATGCAAAATCTGGACAACTTAAATAGATGGAGTTATGACATGTTTGCTTCTTCTTTCTCCTTAGTTCATCCTTTACTTCAAGATGAAAATTCAGATAATGAAAACCTGGCCAGCTCTGGATAATCCCTTCATGAACAATGTACTCCATCATCTATTGTAATAAGCAGGAGAGCCAAAGAATTTTATAAATTTTTTTGCAGTGAAGTTGTTATACCTACTAATTCTGAATGGAAAACATCTTAAATTTACCTTCTTTACTTATATTCTGTGTCCCCCACCCCAAACCGCCACACACACATTCCTCTCTAAGAGGTGAGGTTTCCTAATTGCTTTAAACATGTTTTGCTTTGTTCTGGTTAGTTTTTCTATGTTTCTAAATTTCTCTTGCAGTGGGAATTCAAATAGGATTAAAACTGTCAAAGTGACATAAATATTCTGGGGCTTAGCACCAAAGAGAGAGTTAAAGGATAAATGCCCATCTCACATTTATGCTTCATTTATAGGCTTTCTCTAACACATTTTCTTTATTAGATTGTCACTTCAAGGATTGGGGTTACTTTGACCTGCTAATAGTAGCTGATATTTTGTCCACAGAAGACATTAAGTAAATATTACCGTCAATAAATATTGACAAATTAATGAAGCATTTCTTGAAATGTTCAGCCTTTCTCCTTCAATTCTTGTCTTCATGAACTAGGTAACAAAATTTCTTTAAAAAAATAAAAATAAATAAAACTACCACTTTATTTGGAAAATGACTTAGCATTAAATAAATTGTCTTCCAAAACCTTTTTAAAAGCACCTTAAAAACTTTATCTCGTTAGGCTTAGCATCACTCTATATGTTAACAAGATCACTTTTTTGGGAGTTGAAAAACCACGTAAAATGTTGTTAGGGAAGTTCATAATCATAATGATTCAGTGCACACACGTCTTTTTCATCTCGAGCTCTTGGATCGTCAATTCACCTTTTTTTTCATACCTCACTCTGATTTTTCTTGTTAGTTTATTAGTTGTAAAAAGTTTCTGCCTTCCTGGTTCCTTCAATTTAGACCAATTTGGAAATGGAAAAGTGTGTTAATTTTTTAATAAATCTTTAAGACACGCATTACTGTATTTTTATTAACTGAGCCAGATGGCTCACAGCAAATTTTCTCTGACATAAGTAATCACAGAAATCAGTTTGGGACCCAAATCTGGTATGGAAAGTGGCATGTATATTCAGTGGAAAAATGCAGTTCACATAAACATATGGATATTTTTAGAAGTAATATTTGTTACTGTTTGGATTTCATTTTATTTTTTTGTTTTAGGCCAAGTACGAACTAAGGACTTTTTTTTTTTCCCTGTCTCCCAGATCTAAAGGTCCTTCTCAACAACCCAAAATTGTTTTCTTTCTGCAGTTTGAAGGTTGCAAGAAGGCCTTTTCAAGGCTCGAAAATCTCAAGATTCACTTGCGGAGCCACACGGGCGAAAAGCCGTATTTGTGCCAGCATCCGGGCTGCCAGAAGGCATTCAGCAACTCCAGTGACCGCGCCAAGCACCAGAGGACACATCTGGACACTGTAAGAATGGCAGGAGCTTTCCAACTTCCAGCCGGAAGCCCTGGCCTGAGGAAGTGCCCGTTTGATAGTGGGATGGTGAAGGTGTTTGCTTTATGGTCTGTAGGCTATAGGGACAATGCCAAAGGCAGCAGTGGAACCTGGGAAAGGGCCAGAAGGGGCCCTGTTTGGCTCTTTCTTCATTTTTCTGTAGTCACAAGTTATCCTAAATATTACAACTGCCTGGGACAAAGGGGTTCCTTGGTTACCTCTGTGTATCAAGCAGAGGCAGTTCAGGGGCCGTCACATAGAAGATTTTAGTACTGAGAATGAGACCTAGAGATTGGGCATTAAAATAAGTATTCAAATATCATGATACACTAAAATAGATAATATATGCTATTGCTAGAAATAGGAAGCATTTTTTTTTTCTTACCCTGGTGATTTTCTTCTTGACATAAGAACTTTGAGTCTGGCAAGGTTTTTGAGAGTGAATGGGGCCTTTTGCTTTAGAAACCAGCTAGTATTTTAAGCTTCAGGCGATCTAAAAAAATCAACAAATCTTTCCCCGGGGTTCAGTTTCATCACGCTTCCTATGTGTTAACAGCCACACATCCATTGACGTAAACCCTATGAGAACAATTGATTTTCATTATTACACCTTAACTCTCTTAGTGCTGCAACATTTTGCTCATTTGCAAATGCCTTTTATATTCTTTTATTTTCTCAATTATGGTGATTGTCCTCCTTTGCATTTCTCAGATTTTGATGCCATTTTCCTTACATGAGGCCAGGTAGACTGTATGTAATTTCACTTCGCTTAACAAAGCCATCAGGATAAATGTATTATACACATCACAGATCTCTTATTTCACGTTCTTGCAAATAATGTATTCATGACAGTACTTTTTCAGTGTTAACAGTCTGATGTCTATTATTAAACTACACCAGAGTTTGAATTTTGAAAAGATACTGTTATTTCTATACACCTTCTCATACATATTTAAGATTCTTCTGATGTTATAGTTGACATATTGATTAAATTTTATATTAGTCTCTATTAGTCATATTGATAGAAGTCATTTTAGCTATGTGTCACATAACCTTTCTAAATAGAATTATCTCCTAATATACATAAATGTGATGGTTTGCCTAGTAAATATCTGAAATATAATTAGAATAATATGGGCATAAGATGGACCCTTTCTGCTCTAACTGAATTGAATTCAGTGATTTTAGGACCAATAGAATAGAATATTAAATGAATAAATTTGCTGAATAGCTGTATTTTTTAAAGGTAGAAGTAGGAAAAAAGAATAAATTATGTTAAAATGCCCTATTTTGTATGTCTAAAATGGTCTTGGTAGAATCCAATAAATTTTCCAATTTGTCATTAAACTTTATCATGGAAGAATGAACATTCATGAGACAAGATTGTCTTGAGAAATTGCTTCTACTCTAGCTAGTTATCTGTAGTTTGAAAGAACTATTGTGAGGCTAAGTGTTATGGTTCTACAATACCCTTCTTTGCTTGGAGCTTATTTTAGCTAATCAGACTAAGAACATTTTCTAAAATCATTTGGGAAGTTAAAAAAATATATCCCTTTTTAAAATTTTTGAGGAAAGCTACCTAAGGTGATAATTTCATGATTCAGTTCAATACAGTAGCTTTTAAAACTCAGCTTTTTTTTTTAAATTATTCTTTATTAAATCTTTTAAAACTGTCTTTTTCTCTTTAAGATCCAAACTACCTCCTGTTTAAATTTTTATTAAGCTCTTTTAAAATCATATAGAAATTAAACACTTGCTTTAAAAAGCAAACTGTAGTTGCTTGAAGAATTTATTATTTAAATTTAGGTCCCCATTCCCTTTATTAAGCACTCCTTATTGCTAATGCTGTCAGAATTTTGGATAAATTATCTTTCTTCAACTAAATGTTTCTTTACTTATAGGAAAATGGTTTTCCCATAAAGATTACTGAGTTCATAATTCTAATTCTGAAAAGTTTTATTAATTCATTTCTCTATTTGCATCTTAATATCTAAACAGGAGAAATAGTTTTACTGTACAAATGGAAAATAATGAGAAATAGAGTTTGATGAAGTGTAACATGCCATTTAAAGCTTAGGTAATCTGAGATAAAATGGCCAGTACACCAGTACTACTGAGCCCAGCCCCTGACACTGCTATTTTGGCATACCAGTCCCAGGTGGCTGACAGCAGGGGAGTGAAGCCCAGCAAGGAGGAATGGTGAGTATTCAAGCTTTCTTCAGGAACATCTCAAAAACAAATACAAAATGACATTATCCAGGGGATGACCTGGTGGCATAGTGGTTAGGTTCGCATATTCTGCTTCAGCGGCCCTGGGTTCACTGGCTGGGATCCCGGGCACAGGCCTATGCACCACTAATCAAACCATGCTGTGTCAGGCGTCCCACATATAAAATAGAGGAAGATGGGCATGGATGTTAGCTCAGGGCCAGTCTTCCTCAGCAAAAACGGAGGATTACCTCAGAGCTAATCTTCCTCAAAAAAAAAGACATGATCCATTTCTTATCTTTCCAACCCAAATAATAGCAACCATGGTACTAATAAAGGCATCAATTTATATAACATGTTAATATTCCCAAAGATTTTTTTTATATGCAACATCTCCCCTGATGCTTAAAACGTGAGCTTATATGGTCACAAGATGACTGCCAATAAAGATATTGGCTAGTTGCTCCCCCAAAGCCAAGGCAGGAAAGAGAAGACCAGGACAAGAAAGCTGTGTGCACCCAGTAAAGATTCCCAGGTTAAAGAAAACCTTTGGTTACCCAATGGAAACTCATTGGTAAGTGACTTCAGCCTATAATTGGCTCAGTGTTTTGCAAAAACTGTGAGATATTGAGAGCCTAGTTCATCCATTGTTCATTGTTATGTCCCTAATATGTAACACAGTGCCCAGCACATTACGGAAGCATAAGAGCTGTTGAGTGATTCAGTCAATCAGTCAATGAACAAAAACATCACATAATCAAACTTACAATTCAATATGGGAGTTTCTAACTGAATTACTGTATATATTCATGACTTTACCTTGTTCTTGGAATAAAAAATGGCCAAAAAAAAGCACGAATCATAACATAGCTTCCAGAGGGGCAAATAATAGAATCCACTTACATCTTGGCCCACAAAATGACAAGCATGCACATGAAAACAGGAACAAAATATAAACAGTAGGAAAAAAAAATCTGAGTTTTTTTGGGGGGTATCAATAAGCAAGTTTCTAAAGCAAAAATTCTCTTTTAGAGACAGAGTTTCAGTTCTCTTCCTTACATTTCACCTCACATAGACATAGCTCTGATATCTACCTGTTGAGATATTAAGTAGATGAGTGATGTTAATACATCTTATAAACACAGTTAATCTCGTGATTTTTTTTTTCAGTTCTTAGAACAAGCAGAAGGTTTTGATTTATTTCACAGCTTAAAAGCCATACTCTCAAACCCTTGCTATGAATTTTGTTGTTATAATAGGAATAGGTGCTAAAATGTGAATCGATGTGTAGTGCTCTCATTCATTCATTCATTCCTAATTATTGTGTACCCATCACCAGGGATACAAAAATAAAAAGTTTCTAGCCTCAGCTTTCGGCTCCACCCCTCACATCTTTCAGGAGCATGGGGGAATTGGAGCGGCCAAAACTTGAGTTCTCATCATACTCAGCCAAGGGCTTATTCACATAACCCAGGCTTAGCACCAAGACTCCTCTACAACTAATAGTATTAATGTTTCTCTGGCTGATTTTTCATGTGTCTGTTGTTTGAAACCTTCTGTCTCTTACTCACTTTCCACTGATTTTCTCTTTTAATTCTCTCCCTCTCTCTTTCTGAATCAAGGTTCTTCTGAAACATTCCCAGTCTTTCCTGGACTTTTCTACAGTTTCTTTATACCTGAACTCTTAAAGAATATGTGTTTCCTAGTTTCTGACAGTACCAAAGAGTGTTTTCAGGGGAACAGAACTGTAAGTATGACTGGAGATGCTTATTAATAATTTCCACATTAAAATTGCCGCGAGGTTTCGTGGTAAGAGTGCACTTTATAGCAGTCTCTTAAAAACCATCAAAGATAGGCCATTTCTTTGTTTCTTGGAATTTTATTCCCCTCTTTGCCTTGTTGCAAACTTACTGGGATTTCTAATTAAAATGCATGAATATTACCCAGCATGTCGCATCAGTCAGTTGATAATAGTTCACGCTCTGAAGTCAGTAGTCTTTGAGTAAACCTCCCCCAGTTGCCTTTATGATTTAACCACAGCTGTTTCTTTCTTTCTTTCTTATTTAGAAACCTTATGCTTGTCAAATTCCAGGATGCACCAAACGCTACACAGACCCAAGTTCCCTAAGAAAGCATGTGAAGGCACATTCTTCCAAAGATCAACAAGTGAGGAAAAAGGTAATTTTGAAAAAGGATTTATCCAGCCAGAAAAAGCACATTTAAATTGCTCTTGCAGTACTGGGAGCTTCTACGGGGCATTGGAAATTCTTGTACTTCTCAAGATGTAATATATTTTAGACTCTTTGAGGAGAGAAGTCTTCCATGAAGCAATAGCAAGGCTATGGTTTGCATAGCTGATAAACCCTATATGAATTTCTGGGAAGGGCTTGTATAATAAGAATCAGAGAAAATTAGTGAAAGTCACCTAAACTGGAAAGTAGAAAAAGGCTTTTATGGAAATTAAGTCCAGATAACTAAAGAAAATTGAATTGGGAAAAACAGCACAACAAAAACTCTTTCTGGAGGTAAGTGCCTTTTCTTAAAATATCAGTTGGCTAAAATCGTTTTAGCTGTGATGAAGAAGATAGGTGAATCTCTAGGATGAGCAAGTAAGCATAGAGCTTTTCTCCCTTTAAGCTTAGAAAAAAACACGTTTCTTTTTTTTCAGGTTTTTTTTTTAATTTTTATTTTTTTCGGATGTACATCATATTTCAAATTCTGTATACATTACATCATGTTCACCACCCGAACACTAATTATACTCCATCCCCTCACATGTGAGCCTAATCACCCCTTTTGCCCTCCCCCCTTCCCCAAAGGTAACCACCAGTCCAATCTCCAATGCTATGAAACACGTTTCTTAATAGGTATTGTGTATGAAAATCTGAGAAAGGAATTACTTTGACATCAATGAGGGATTAATGCATCTTTCGAGTTCATAGAAATTACAGTATCTCAGACTTGGAAGAAATGTTAAATAACAACCAACCAACCCACCTGACTCGCTCTCCTGACCTCATAAGGTCTCCAGCAAGTGGCTGGCCATGCTGTGCTTCAAGACCTCGAGAAAGGAGGAGCTTACTACCGTTTAAGGCATATCCTGATAATTGAGTCTGTAAATTTTTGGACCAAGAAGTCTCTTCTGACTGAGGCAGAAAACATGTTGAGCTGACCTTGGCTTTTTGAGTGTTTCATTTGTGTTAAGATGGGACCTGCTTCATCTAAGGGCCCTTCATAGCAAATTTAAGGGAAGTTTAAGAATCAGCTTATTTCAAGTGATTGAACCCCATGGCCGTGGTTCTCAGGTCACCGTGGCTTCCAGCTGACTAGAATCTTGTGTTCCTTCATGGTTTGCAGGGATTTAATACTTTCACATTAGGAAATGCTGTGTAGTCTTTTTGTTACTTGCACTTTTTCTTCCTTGAGAGGTGTTAGCACAATGCCAGTTGAGGGCTCATATATGGAAAGACTTGACCTCTTCCCTGAGAGTTAGAAAAATGCCCAGTTAGAAGGATTTGATAGATTTGCTTAATTGTACACAAACCCGCTATTGTAAGTCAATTGTTAAAATAATTTTTTCTCTGTAAATATAGTTGTCTTTTTAATTGGAATAACAATAAATTGATAACAGATGATCATTATCAACAGATGACAACAGATGATCATTCAGCATGGATTGGCTATGTTCTTGTATTTTAGAAGAGCGAAGGAACTGCTAAGTGAATTAATAATATAAATAAAGTTGTAAGGAGGATGCTTAATATTTTTAAAATAGCACACTATTGTTGCATGTTATTAACTCTGTTCAGCAGAATGACTGTCTAATGGTTTTTGTCATTATCTATGTATATCTTATAAACTTGAAGTGAAAAGTTGTGTTTGGTTAAAAAAAATCTCTCTTGATAAGCGTTTTTTCCTCTAAATGTGACCTTTCTCCACCTCCAAGTTGTCCTAAATGTGTGAGGTTTTACTGTAATAGCAAATCTATCATAAGGGAGAGCACCTTCAAAATTGTCATGGACATGAAAGAACATAAGTCCCATATCTAGATGAATAAGCAACAATATGATGTTCAACATAAGGTAACCTAGGTTGACAGTAGGTATGGAAACATTATGGGATATTTTCAGGAATTGTTAATTAATTGGTTTCTATTGTTCAAACATGGTGTGTTTCAGCCTCTCAAGAAAAGAAGAGTAGTTTTGATTATGTGAAAGATTCTTGAAGCGCATTAATGTAAAAAAGAAAATCAGACCTTGAGACTACAAAATAGAAACTTACAGGTGATTTGCAGAAAACCATCAACAGGCAATCTAGATAACAAGGATATACTTTTGAGGAGCAGTATTATAATCTAATGTGAAATGTCGCAGTATTCTCTTAACTTTGTCTTATGTAAAGTGAGGTGTTGTCTCCCCAATGATTTAGTTTTTGATGTGCACTGTTTCCTGCAAATGGTTGCACTAGATTTGGCTGACTTTCATTGCCCAGCCCATAGTGACACTTTTACTGTGTTTACTTTCCAAATTTTAACCCATCTTTTTACTCTGAAGATTTTAAAAATCGTTTATGAATCTATGATGGATTAATTTGTGGAAATTAAATGATGAAAGTTGCTCCATCCAATAAAAAGAGGAAATGTCACTCCCAGGAGAAGCAGTATCAATAAACCTGAAATCAGTGAATCCACATTTTCAAACCTTGCACCAGTATACTAGTATATAATATTTACATGGGCACAATGTTGTTACTAGACCTTGGAGAGACTCTAATTGCTAACTCACATCAGGGCTTGGTATTTGAAATATTTCCTGGCAGCAATAATAAAAAAAAAGTAAGAAACAATAAACCTTTTAAGGCAGAATTAAGATTATTTACGACTTTAATTAAAAATTGAAAACTGGCATCTTTTCAAAAAAGCCTTTACAAAAATGTGAATTCATCAAAAATAACCATAAAAATTCCAAGGTGATAAAGGCACAGTGGAGTAATAGTCCCAGCCCTAGGGAATTGTTTTGTTGAAAAGAATAAAACCCTTTTCTGTCACACCCTGTTAGTCATGGACACGTTTAATATACGCTGCCTGCCTGCCTGCCTCTAATCCTCTTTTTAACCTCCTCCTAGACACTAAATGACATTATTTTGGTCTTAACATGGCCAGTTTCATGAGGCCCTCTCTGAAATCAGGGCCAGTGACAAGGCACCCTCAGCCACGATACAAATGTTTTATCAGGACAAGAAGAGATATGTAAGTGATGCCCTGGCCATGGGCTGGTGGCCCTTTCCCACATCTGTTGGATCCCACTGAAAACCAGGAACCTGAAATCTCAGCTAAATGTTATTCAAGCTCTGAAAAGAAAGAAGAAGAAGAAAAAGAAGAAAAGACTCTTCTTCAAAGGAATAGGGATAATTCGGCTCATTGCATGCAGAGAGTAACTTTTCTCTTTGCCTAATGCGCGCACACCCACACATCCCATCAGCTGATGTATCGACTTCATCTATTGAATGCGCTTTCCAGATCTTGAGTCCATTAAATAGAAGGCTACACAGATAAATGAGTAGCAAAATACTCAAGTCGCCAGCTATGGTCTCCAGTGAGAAGAGAATATAGCTCGCAGAGGAAAGGCAAAATCTGTCCTTCAATTCTGTCTGATAGTGAGTAGTGAAATAACAGAAAACTAAGGCAATAAGTCACCTGAAATTTTCCACAAGGCTGTGAGTTTTATCAGAATTTTTCATTTTCACCTTAGAAGTGCCATAGGCAGGAGGGGTTTTTTTGAATTTTTAATTTTTGTTTTTATAGCAGTAACATTGGATTATAACATTATATAACTTTCAGATGTACATTATATTTCAAATTCTGTGTAGATCACATCATGTTCACCAAGCAAAGACTAATTACAAATCCATTACCACACATGTGTCCCTAATAACCCCTTTCCCCTTACTCCCTCCCCCTTCCCCTCTGGTAATCATCAATCCAATCTCTATTGCTATGTGTTGTTTGTTGTTTTTATCTTATACTTATGAGTGAGATCATGCAGTATTTGACTTTCTCCCTCTGACTTATTTCACTTAGCATAATTCCCTCAAGGTCTATCCATGTTGTCACAAATGGCTGGATTTCATCCTTTCTTAAGACTGAGTAGTATTCCATTGTATATATAAACCACGTCTTCTTTTTCCATTCGTCCCCTGATGGGCACCTAGGTTGCTTCCAAGTCTTGGCCATTGTGAATAATGCTGCAGTGAACTTAGAGGTGCATGTGTCTTTATGCATTTGTGCTTTCAAGTTCTTTGGATAAATACCCAGCAGTGGAATATCTGGATCATATGGTAGATCTAGTCTTAATTTTTTGAGGAATCTCCATACTGTTTTCCATAGTGGCTGCACCAGTTTGCACTCCCACCAGGAGTGTACGAGGATTCCCTTCTCCCCACATCCTCTCCAACACTTGTTGTTTCCTGTCTTGTTGATTATAGCCATTCTGACCGGAGTGAGGTGATATCTCATTGTAGATTTGATTTGCCTCTGCCTTATGGTTAATGCTGTTGAACATGTTTTCATGTACCTGTTGCCCATCCATATATCTTCTTTGGAGAAATCTCTGTTCACATCTTTTGCCCATTTTTTTAATTGGGTTGTTGGTCAAAATGGACTTTTTAAAGTGAATGCAACGAACGCTGGGCCAAAAGTTAGAGATGACATGAATCTTACGTCCATTTCACACTTCCACAAAGATTCCAGACTTTGGGTGTGATTTGTTAAGTGTTTGTTAAACATTCACCTTTGACCCACCATGGTTGATGACTTTCACTTTTGGGACCTGAACACAAGCTGTTATAAACCAAGCATGGCATTTGAAATGTGTGTGAATGTATCATGTGTTTATATTTCCTACTTACAGAACAGCTCTGTATAGCTTTTTGGCCAAAATAGAGCAGCTTATTTAATGCAACTCTCCTCATGTAGAACTGGCAATTCTTTGGAATCTGTTCAGAGCCACCACTACCCCATACATGCTCAAAACTTTAAACAATTTCATTAAGTACCATGTGGCTCACCTTGCTTTATGCAGTTGTTGGAATCTTAAAATATTTTAAGATAAAATCTTAATATATTTTCCACTAAATGGAAGCATGTATTAGAAGAGCTAGTGAGGCTTGCTTTTGTATTA